TGATCGTTCGGTTCTCCTCTGCCTGTTCTTCTGCTTGCTCTAGGTGCTCTGCTAGTTGGCCCTTGAAGGTGCGCGTCGCCCTCTTGAGCTCTTCAAGCACTTGCTTCTTTGCATTGTCCACCGCCGTGCGTCCCTCTGCGCCCATATCTTCGTCGCATTTGAAGTGCCTTCCCAGCTCTGCGAACTCCAGCTCGGGCGGGCGCGCGACCCCCGCGTCTGCTTCGAGGATGGCGTCGAAGATGCCCCTGTTGCACTTCTCTTTGCCTCCGCGTGCATGTCATCGATGAGCTGCTCCGCCCCCGCGACATCATCGGCCCTCAGGTTGAGCGTCTCGTTGCCTTCTTCGCCTCGGCGTCGGTCTGCTTCTTCGCTTCGAAGGCCCAAGTGTAGAGCTTGTTGTAGTGTTCCAGGGACTTCGCCGCCTCAGCCAGTCTCAGCGCCCTTGACTTGGCTGGCTTTGTCTGTTCAGCTTCTGCAGCGCGTTGGATCTCCTTTGTCGCGCCCTCCAGCTGCTTGACCAAGCCGCCCTTGTCTGGCGCGACGCCCCCATGGCTCCGAGCGTGCTCGAGACCGTCTTCAGCGCGGTGACTAGCTGGTCCATGTCCTTGTTCAGTTTGCCGATGGGTATTGGGTCTCCTTCGGCCTTGTCATAACTGCCGTAGCTGCTGCTGCTGCAACTGCTGCTGCTGCCGCCATCGCCTCGCTCTGCTCCGTGATATGTCCAACTCTTTGGGCGGGCGACGCGGCCTCCACAGTCGCACCAAACATCGTTCTCGCACAGCTGTTTGTGCCAAAGCCACTTCTGGCATAGTTTGCAGCTGCTCCAGTCGCCCTGCTTGGCGGGCGGCATGCTGCCGCGGTGGGCTCCCAGCAGCTGTCCGGCCCCCTCAGTCTTCAGCCACCTGCGGGCCTCTCCTCTCGCGCGCCTGAGGCGCCTGTGCCGGGCGGGAGAGGGTGGCGCCTTCAGGCCGCGCCGGCCCTCCGAAGGCCCGGGGGCCCCCGATGGCGCGGGCCCCGCGGCGCCGCCCGCGGGCAAGACGGCTGCGCGGGGGCGGGGCGGGGCCACGCTGGAGAGCCACCTAGGAGGAGGAGGAGAGAGGAGGGGGAGGAGGAGGAGAAGGAGGAGGAGGAGGAGGAGGGGGAGGAGGAGGAGGAGGGGGGGGAGGAGGAGGAGGAAGAAGGAGGAGGAGGAGGAGGAGGAGGAGGAGGAGGAGGGAGGGGGGAGGGGGAAGAGGAGGAGGAGGAAGAGCAGGAGGAGGAGGAGGATTTGTCCCGTGCGCTGCGCACACCTAGGCTCCTATTCGCGGGAGCGCGCGGGCCTGCACGTGCGGGTTTGAACCAGAATGCCTCGAATGAAATGTCCGAGTAGAGCTGGAAGCCGCTCCACACGTTACTGAATTCCTCAACAAACCGACCGACGATGCCAAAGGAGACCGCGCAGATCTTCTTCACGATGTCCGGATGAAGCCCAACCTGCGGAGCACAGCAAGCCTGAAGGCCCAATCGAAACTAACTGCTCCTCCGCGCAAGCGCGCGAGGCCCCCATGCTCTCCGAGCCGCTGTCGTGGGAGGCGCCGCCAAGGTGGTCGCCGTCCTCCTCGATGCCAAGCTCGGGGGAGCCCTCGCAGGCGGAGCCCTCACCGGTGCCGCCGAGGTTGCCCTCGACGACCCCGCCAACGCTCTGCTGGTCTATTTCGTAACGCTCGGGCCCGTCGAAGTGGAGCGGCGCGCCGAGGTCGATGTCGCAACGCTCGGGCCCGTCAAAGTGGATCGGCGCGCCGAGGAAGTGGGAGTCGGGCTCGAAGTGGCCTTCGGAGGAGTCGGGCATGAAGTTGCCATGGGAGGTGTTGGGCAAGGCGCCCTCAAAGATGTCGAAGATGTTGGGCAACGTGCCCTCGGAGTTGTAGAACTTGTAGGTCTGCTGGTCGGAGTCCTTCCCAAGCGTGCACGGGACAACTGTTTTGCAAACGGCCATGGCTGGACGATGGTAGGACGCCTGGGCTGAAACTCCTCGAACTGTAAGGCCGAAGATGCGCCCAGCGTGAAAATCAACGGAGCCTCGCCGAACTTGGTGGACTCTACTCCTTCTTCACCTGGAAGGGCAGCGGCAGCGGCGGCAGCGCCACAGGGCACCGGCCGACGTTCACGAGCACCGCCGATCCCGTAGATGAAGATGATCCCGCAGGAGTTGTTGAGCTCGTCGCACATGCTGAACTCTTACCGCCGAGAGGAGCTTGCGACGACGACGAACTCGCCTGGGGAGCCGTGACGGAGAGGCTGCACACGTAGGCCTTGAGCATATTGTGCCTCAGCCTCTTCTTGTAGTTCTTGATGGCCGAGGACTGGCCGTTCTTCTTCTTCTTCTTCACGTTATCCTCCTGTTTCCCGATGCTCTGATCCAGCTTCACTGTGCCAAGCGTCTTGTGCCAGCGCTTCAACTTCTTGACGGGCTGCGGCAGCGGTGAAGGTGGCGCTGGTATCGTGCCCTCGATCGGCTCCT